GGGTTGTCTAGTAAAGGGCGGGGGACTTGGGGATGTCAGGGTTGCTCGGATGTCTCTGGCTGTTGGCTTTCAAAGACTCCACATTCCCCTGAGTTTCCTGTTGGTTTTGGAGGCCAAACCGAGCTTCTATGCACCCCTGTATTGGTGATGAGACCCAGGAACTCCCTGGGGATACAGGTGACTGGGGATGCTGTCAGTCCCACAGCTGAGTCCTCTGCAGGAGAAACTTGCATTTAGTGACACTGGCCAGGAGCTTTAGTCTGCCCTCTTCCACTGTTCGGTCTGGAGATGGGCAGCAGGGGCTGTGGGATGGGAGGGGCAGCGTCTGCTCCTGGCAGCAGGACAGGTTCCAGAAGGGCAGAGGTAGAGCACATTGGCCACTGGCCTGATCTGTCCCTGCCCTGCGCTTGTTAAACCCATGGTTCAGCCAGGGCCTCCTTACTCCTCTCTGTCTCGGTAAGTTTTGGGCAGGGTTGAGTTCAGTCAGCCCCAGCCCCTCAGCCCCTCTGTTTCCCCTCATTTCCTCCCATAATCAGACAGATACCCAGGCATGCACTGAGCATCCATCCACACCATACAGGACCTAGGGAGACTAGAAGTATGAAGCTTTAACACCAGGCTATGGCGTGTGGGTTCCACAGGTAGGAGGGAGAGGGCTCGCCATCCCATCTGAGGGAAGACCATCTGGGAAAGGCTGCAGGCTGGAGCTCTAGGTGTTGGCTTCTTCCTGATGGCTGCACTGTCCACAGGGAGGCCACACACCATGAAGTATGCTGGGTGGAAGGATTAGAAAGGCAAAAACACAGCCAACCGTGGAGACTTGTATAGAAACATAGCTCAAACACGCTTATACTGAATACATGCAGAAAGACTGTTTTAGGTGTCTTGCTATATGTCATTAAAAATTAATTTCACCTGTCTCTTTTAATGTGAAAATTCAAAATCACCCATGTGTGTTTCTCATAATTCCCTGGCAGAGCTGGCTCTAGTCTCTCCAGTACCCTTTAAGAACGAGCAAACAACTCCACCCCTCTCTCCCTGCACAGTTCTGCTTGTCTGCTGCCCCTGTATCTTCCCAGAGCAGCTCTTTACTTCCGCATGCCCCCTTCCTTTCCCTCTGTCTTACGGACTTGATTCCTCTTCTTTTATTGTGTGTGATGATGGATGGAGGCTTGAGAAGGGGAGACTAGTTAGTGTCTGCTCTCTCAGGCTCCCGTTTCTGGGTACCCCGAACCCGACTAACCCAAATGTCCATGGAAACTGATGTTTTAGGCAAATCTTCTTTCTCTGACTGACTTGGAGTCAGGCAGGAATTGTTTTTATTTTCTTGTCACTTTTGTAGGTTACAAAAGTGTAGGAGACGTGCCTCATTTACAAACTTCAGTGTGAGATGACTTTAGCCACACAGCTACTGTCTACCTCTACCTTCTCCTCTAGAGTCAAATTCGCCAGTGCCCTACGCTTCCAACTCTTACGAGCTAGGCATTTACTTCCCGAATTATGCACACTATTATGTAAATTTCAAACTAAACCATTAGATTGCTATTTTTTGACTTAAAAATTCCAGACCATTGCTTATGCTCTTCACGCTATTTTTTTTTCGTTCTAATACAGCTTGTTGTTTGTTTTATGGCTAATGTATATTGTTCATTGTTGAGCCAAGTAGTGTGTAATAATTACGCTTGCTTGCGTAACTTTTTATTTCCCTGGAGATGATCACTGCCCCTTTATGGCTGCCTTGTTTCTTACGGCATTTATGCAGATTCTTACGGATGTCTCTATCAATCACATGCCATCTCCATCCTCCTCTTCCCTGACCGCCTTTCAGATTCCCCAGCCGTTGGGAGTCCTGTGCAGTTGTATGCTTGGGGATATCTCACCTCTTCAGAGCATGGGCCCTGTTTCGTTGCTTTTCTTTCTAACTGTGTGCCAGTGCCTCTTACAGAAGGAGCAAAGCCACTGTTTGAACGTGGTGGTGCATGCCTGTACTCCTAGCACTGGGAGGCAGAGGCAGGAGGATCACAAGTTCAAGGTCATCCTTGAACACAGTAAGTTCTAGACCAGTGGTTCTCAACTTGCGTAATGCTTCGACCCTTTACTACAGTTCCCCATGCTGTGGTGACCCCCAAACATAAAATTATTTTCCTTGCTGCTTCACAACTGTAGTTTTGTGTGGCCAATTGTACTGTAAATATCTGATATGCAGATGGCCTTCGGTGACCATCAAAGGGGTCCTGGCCCACAGGTTTAAAACTACTGCCCACCGGTCTGTCCTTGAGGACAAAAGGCTGACAGGCACCTTGAGAGCACACAGCCCTTTACAAGGTGTGTGTGTGTGTGTGTGTGTGAGTGTGTGTGTGTGTGTGTGTGTGTGTGTGTAGCCCAGCCTTCCTCCCTCAGCTGTCCAGGTCCAGGGCAAGTTTATAACAACCCCAGTGTCTTCCTGCCTCCTACCTCCTGGCAAGTAGGCCAGGCAAGGCTAGACCATGCGATAGGGCATCTATCATCCCTTTGAATACCTGTAAGAGTCCCAGACTCTGCTCTCTGGATTGGAAGGGCTTCAAGGCCCCATGATGTCGCCTATGCATTGCTGCTGTGTGTGTTCCTATGCATTCCCATTTCAAGGTCCAGCCATGGCCCCTGTGGTTGTAAGGCTGTCTTTCCCAATAAAGCTCACCAGAAGGGCAATTTCATGTCAGCCCATCTCTATGAACCTCCTTAATTCACGAGAGTTAAAATTAACTTTGCCTGTCTCTTTCGGTGTGAAAATTTAAAATTACCTGTGTGTGTCTCACATAATTTAGTGGCAGAGCTGGCTTTGATCTCTAAAAACAACTCCATTTACTTCTTTCCAACAGAGGCTAGCCTGGGCTACACGAGACTCTGTCAACAAACAAATACAAACAAACTCTGAAATGGCTTTTTTCCTCTATCCTCAGTTGATTAATAGTTCGTTTAGACACAGATTTCTAGATATTGTGTCCAATCCCTCCCCCCCATACCTGGAAGGCACTTGCTTTGTAATTTTTAATCTTCTAATATCTAATGGTATCAGCTCGTAGTGTATCTGAGAATACAGTATGGTTTCTGACTTGTGACTGTTTGCAGATCTGTGCACTCTGGAGTGTTCTAGAACTGTCTCTTTGTCTTTATTGATTGCACATTTCATCGTTATGTCCTGGTGTGCTGTTCTTGCCATCGCTTGCCCTGTTGGGCACAGAGGCCACCTTTCCTATCTGGAAAAACAGACCTTCCGTCTGGGAAGTAGTTTTTTAAAAAAGTTTCCCCCATGCTCCTCTCCTGAGTGTCTCCTGGGTTTTCTCTCTTACAAGTGAAGTTCAGGGTTTTGTCTCATGTGCGTCCTGGGGGAATGTCTGCGGCTCTCCCTCCGGTCCTCCTGCTAAACTCCAGACTCCACCTTGTGATTTTAATTTCCAAGTGCTCTCCATCTTTGTCACCCTTCCTTGTGAGAGCACTTCCTGTTGCTTCACAGAGCTCATATCTTATTTGGCAAAAGATATTGGAATTTCTTTCCTGGTCCTTGTGCTATCTCTCTTATCTTGGATTTTTTTTTCTCTTTCTCATATAAAGGTTGTTGTGTTCTCTCCACTTTGTAGCCTTCTTCAGAAGACCACTCGCCCTTGGGTTGTCTGCTTATGTCAGAATAGGTCACTAACAGCTGTTTAGTAGCTCTGTACATACATATGAGAAATAATTTCCCAACAGGTGGGCCTCAGGATACAGAGGCTGGTGGGACCTAGACATTTTATTGGGGTGTTCTGAACTACAAGCACCTAGAGAGCACTTCTGGGAACAAGGACTGTCTTGGAAGAAGTAGTCCCAGTTTCCATCCCAGCATTCCTGTGTGCAGAGTGCAGAGCAATGTCACAGGCTGGTGACAGAGGGAAGTAGGGGTCCCAAAGTTCCCAGACATTGGGACAGAATTTCACCTGTTTGGCTTTGCTAGTACCCTGCCTTCTGCACCTAAGCGTCCTCCCACCATGCACTAGGCCTTTTCTGGAAGAACGGGAAGGGAAGGAACTATGCTTGTTGCTGACCTAGCATCCTTCTTCCTGGACTTAGTCCCACACTGTCTCCTGCTGTTTCCATTCCTGACCCTTGCAGCCTCATGGGGCATCTGCCCACCACCTGTTGATTGCCCCTGCCCCTTTGGTAGGTGATGGGTTTCTGATTTCTCAGTTTTGCTAATTCTGCCATCTGCTTTCCAAACTCTCTTGACATCTGTTGTCTGCTGGTATCACCTCTCCTGTTCCCCCTGCCCTATCTTTTTCTTAGCCTTTTGCTCTTATGTTAGTGGGGCTGGGGAAGAGGCAGATGTGTGTTGTATCTATCAGGGTTTTATTGTTGTTGTTATTTTGGTTTTGGTTTTTGGAGAGTGGGTTTCTCTGTGTAACAGTCCTGGATGTCCTGGAACTTGTTTTGTAGACCAGGCTAGGGTTGAACTCACAGAGATTCACCTGCCCCATGAGAGCTGGAATTAAAGGCCTGAGCCCACAACACCAGGCTTGATGGGTATTTTAAAAGGTAAAATGGTCCCCTTCCCGCTTAAAACTGCAACCGCAACAATTTTATTTTATTTTAGCTGTTTATGCTGGAATAGAAATTGCTCCGTAAAGCCCAGGGCTTGGCTAAGTTGCCCTGAATTTTCTCAGTGTGCACATAAGATATTGCATGGGAGGAGTCTAACTTAAGAAAGCGAGGCCAGCTTTAGGGGCTGTTGAACCCCTTTAACACGAGTGCTACTTATAAAAGGGCTACCTCTCTGGACATTAAAGCAAACACTCTTCCTCTGCTAAGGCCCATGGGACCTTTACATGGGGGCGCCAAAGATGGTGGCACGCATATTCAAGCTGTAGATCAGCTGTGTTAGGAAGGTCTTGCTTTTCACCAGCTCCGGGTTGCCCAGGGGTGGGGACCTGGCTCAGGTGGAGAGCTCTTGCAGGTCCTCACGGAGACCTCTCTGTCTTTTGCCTCTACAGGTGCCCCCTTTCAAAGGTCTCAGCATCCTCACGCTACCTCCTGCCGCCACTTCCACCTGGGTCCCCCGCAGCCGCAGCAGCTAGCCCCGGACTTCCCGCTGGCACACCCCGTGCAGTCGCAGCCGGGCCTCAGCGCCCACATGGCCCCGGCCCACCAGCACAGCGGCGCGCTGCACCAGTCGCTGACCCCGCTGCCCACCCTGCAGTTCCAGGACGTCACAGGTCCCTCCTTCCTACCTCAGGCCCTGCACCAGCAATACCTGCTGCAGCAGCAGCTCCTGGAAGCGCAGCACCGCAGGCTCGTCTCGCATCCCAGGTCGGCAGGGGCGGGGCCGAGGAAAGAGGGCGGGGCCGTGAAGGGGGTAGGGGTTCTAACAGCCAAGTTTGGGTGCAGTCACAAGTGTTTCCATAGGTGATGATGGCTTTTGCCTCAGTTAGTGGTGTTCATTCAGGTCAGAGTCTAGCCTGAGTCCTCACATCACTTAGGTTCAAGGTCAGCAGCTGGGTAAGCAGCGGCCAGGGACGCTCACGGTGAACGTTTGTAGCGTGGGAGGTTTGACTATAGGCTTCTCGGGTCCCCTCCAGCCTGATGCTGATTTTTCCCAAACTATACCAGAATACCAAAGGAGATAACTGGTTCTAGCTCTAAGCTAGAGTTGGAGATTGCCTATGTGTCCACGAAACCAAATAAAATTAGCAGTGACCAAATGTCCTGATGTGTCAAGTCACTATCCTTCTCTGCACCTCAGCTGTAAATAAGAAATGAATGAGCACAGCTGGGTGCTTCTCAGTCTTCTGGGTCTCAGGGCCCTTTTCACACTGAAAAATAACTACTGCCATATGGTTTTACCACGTTAGAAATCTTAAAGTATCTACTAATTCATTAAAAGTAACAACTGACTCCTCGTGCTAAATTTATAAAATGTTCTCTTTTTAATTTTTAATTCGTTTCCTTTTATTGAAAATAGATTCTTTTCTCACATGATATATGGTGATTATGGTTCCCCGTCCCTCTACCCCTTCCAGTTCTTTCCACCTGCTCTCCTATCGGGATCCATTCCCTTTTTGTCTCCCATTAGAAAACAATCAGGCTTCTAAAAGATAATAAAATAAGATAAAACAAACAAACAAACAAAAGATAGCAGTCAGAATTGGGCAAACACCAACAGTTGGAAGAGAGCCCCCCAAAAGAGACAAGAATGAGAAACCTCCTCAAGAATTCCATAAAAACACTAACCTGGGTGCCATAGTGCATCCATCCGCAGAGGGCCCGGTGTAGGACCCGTGCAGATCCTGTGCGTGCTGCCCGTTTGTGAGTTCATGCGATCGTTGATCATGATGCTTTAGAAGACATCATTCTCCTGTGTCCTCCATCCCCTCTGGCTCTTAGACTCTTCCCCCTTCCTCTTCCTCAGGATCTCCTAAGCTCCGAGGGGAGGGATTTGATGGAGGCATCCCACTTAGAGATGTGTGTTCCAAAGTCTCTCTCTCTCTCTCTCTCTCTCTCTCTCTCTCTCTCTCTCTGTGTGTGTGTGTGTGTGTGTGTGAGAGAGAGATGTCTGGCTGTGGCATTACGGAAACTTCTGTAATGATATTTGAACAAGACACCAGTCTATGACTATAGCAGAATGTCATTAGGAGTCGTTTTATTGCCTTTTAATTTATTATTATTATTTTTTAAGATCAGTAGTATTTGAGTTTACCCTAGGTCCCAGGGTTAATCCAGTCTCAGGTCCTTGATCACTGAGGCTGGGTATGGGTTCCATCTCGAGTGGGGCTTAAGTTGAATCAGATGATGGTTGGTTTCTACCACAGGCTTTGTGCCACCATTGTACTAGCACGTCTTGCAGGCAGGACACGTCATAGATCAAAGGATTTGTGTCTGGGTTGGTGTTTGTCTCACTTTTGGTGGCATGAAGAGCTCCTTCCTGTGCCAGAAACACTAGAATGTAGGGGTGAAGGCTCTGTCTGGACACCAGCTCAACCTCTCCAAGTCCAATGGGCTGTGTAGGTGTTGTCTTCTGCAATGGGCCTAGCTGTTAGTTTGTGGAGAGCAACCTACAGTCTTGGCAACATCCTGAGTTATCTGGGAATTCTTATTGGATCCATTTGGCCAAGAACTCAATTATATGTAACCAGCCCTGCTACTGGAAGCTTCATTTGGCGACGAGAGATACCCAGCTGGGGCTCTGTCTCTCCCCTTATTTCATTTAGTTTGTGTTTGTATATGTGTGCATTTTAGGAAGCTTTTACTGTACAAAGATTCCATACTACCCCTCAAACGATCCTTCCTCCACTTGATCGCCTGTTTCCGACCCCCACCCTACCATCCATAACTATTTCTCTTTCCTAATGAGATCTGTCTGCTCCCTCTAGTCCCTTACTCTATACCTAACCTCTTGTGGATTGTAGCTTGGTTATTTTTGACTTAAGAGCTAATATTCACATATAAGTGAATACATACCATATTTGTCTTCCTGGGTCTGGGATACCTCACCCAGGATGATTTTTTTCTACTTCCATCCATTTACCTGAGAATTTAATGTTCTCATTTGCTTTAAAAGCACTGTGTAAATGTACTACTGAGTAACACTCCATTGTGTATATGTACTACATTTTCTTCATCCATTCTTTTGTTGAGGGACATGTAGTTTGTTTCCAGTTTCTGGCTATTATTAATAGAACAGCAATGGACATAGTTGAGCAAATGTCTCTGTGACCAGAGTGAAGTGTCCTTTGGGTACATGCCCAAGAGTGGTATAGCAGGATCTTGAGGTAGATTGATTCCCAGCTTCCTGAGTAACCACCATACTGACTTCCACAGGGCTGTACAAGTTTGCACTCCCACCAACAATGGAGGATATCCCCTTCTTCCACATCCACACTAGTGCAGGAGAGCAGTGCATTGTTTTGTTGATCTTAGCCACTCTGACTGGTATAAGATGAAATCTCAGGGTAGCTTTGATTTGCATTTCCCTGATGGCTTAAGGATGCGGACAGCTAAGCACTTCTCAGCCTTTGAGTTTCCTCTCCTGGGAATGCTGTTTATTTACATCTGTACCCCATTTGTAATTGGGTTGTTTTCTTGATTTCTAGTTTTTTTGTTGTTGTTGAGGTCTTTATATATTTTGGAAATTATCCCCCTGTCAGATGTGTAGTTAAAAAAAAAAAACAAGCAAACAAGCAAAACAAAACAAGCAAACAAACAAAAAGCCCTTTTCCCATTCCATAGGCTGCGTCTTTGTCTGAATGATGGTGTCCTTTGCTAAACAGAAGCTTTTTGGTTTCATGAGGTCCCATTTGGTAACCATTGGTCTTAGTGCCTGTACTATTGGTACTCTGTTCAGGAAAGTCCTCTCCTGTGACAGTGTGTTCAAGGCTGCTCCCCACTGTCTCTTCTATTTGGTTCAGTGTATCTGGTTTTATGTTGCAGTTCTCAATCCTCTTGGAATTGAGTTTTGTGCAGGGTGATAAGTATAAATCTATTTACATTCAGCACATGCAGACATCCCAATTGATTAGCACCATTTATTGAAGATGCTGTCTTTTTTCCAGTGTGTATTTCTTGCTTCTTTATAAAAAAAGGTGTGTTTATTTATGCCTGGGGTCTTCAAGTCAATTCAATTGATCAAAATGTCTATTTCAGGGCCAATACTTATGCATTTTTTAAAAATAGTATAGCTCTGTAGTACAATTGAAAGCAGGGATAGGGATACATCCGACAGGTCTTTATTATTCAGAATTGTTTTAGCTTTCAGTGTGTGTGTGTGTGTGTGTGTGTGTGTGTGTGTGTGTGTTTCCATATAAAGCTGAAAATTATTGTTTCAAGATTGTGAAGAATTGTGTGGAATTTTGAATCTGTAGATTGTTTTTGGTAGTACGGCCATTTTTACTTTTACGTTTTACATTTTAATCTTACTGATCCATAAGCATGGGCAATCTTTTAGTCTTTTTCAATTTCTTTCTTCAATGTCTTAAAGTTTTTGTCACACAAGCTTAGTTATACCATGATATTTTATATTTTTTGAGGTTATTGTGAAAGATGTTGTTTTCCTTCTCAGTTTATTTGCTATTTATATATAGGCTGGTTACTGATTTTTGTCAGCCAAGTTTGTTTCCAGCTACTTTGCTAAAAGTATTTATCAGCTGAGGGAGTTTTCTGGTGGAACTTTTAGGCTCATTATTGTATACTATCACATCACCTGCAAATAAAGATACATGGATTTCTTATTTTCCAATTTGTATCCTCTTAACCTTCTTCACTCATATTTTTGCTGTAGTTAAGATTTCAAGTACTGTATTGAATAGGTATGGAGAAAGTGGACAACTTAGCCTTGTTCCTGATTTTAATGGAATTGCTTTGAGTTACAGCTATGGGATTGCTGTAAACTGCCTTTATTACATTTAGGTATGTCCATTGTATCCCTAATCTCTCCAAGACTTTTATCATGAAGGATGTTGGGTTTTGTTAAATCCTTTTCTGCACCGAATGAGATGATCATGTGGTGTGTGTGTGTGTGTGTGTGTGTGTGTGTGTGTGTGTGTGTGTGTGTGTGTGGTGTGTTTTCTTTCAGTTTCTTTATATGGTGAATTATTTTTTTTTATTTATGTTGAACCATCCCTGCATCTCTGGGATAAGCCTTCTTGTGGGTGGATGATCTTTTTAATGTGTTCTTGGATTCAGCTTGCATGTATTTTATTGAAAAAAATTGCATCTATGTTTATAAGAGAAAATGGTCTGCAATTCTTATTCTCTGTTGGGTCTTTATGTGATCTGGGTATCAGGGTAGCCCTGGCCTCATGAAACAAATTAGGCAATGTTCTTTCTGTTTATATTTTGTAGAATAATTTGAGGAGTATTGGCATTAACTCTTCTTTGAAAGTCATGTAGAATTTTGTGCTAAAACCATTTGGTCTTAAGCTTTTTTTTGGTTGGGAAAGTTGTAATGACTGCTCCTGTTTTATTAGGGGTTATGAGTCTGTTTAAATTGTTTATCTGATTGTGATTTAACTTTGGTAAGTGGTATTTATTCAGAAAATGATCCATTTCTTTCAGATTTTCCAATTCAGTGGAGTATATTTTTAATATACTCCTTATGATTCTCTGAATTTCCTTGGTGTCTGTTGTAATGTCTCCCCCTTTCATTTCTAAGTTTATGAATTTGCGTAGTCTCTCCAACTTTTTGTTAATTTCTATGAAGGTTTGTCAATCTTAATGATTTTTTCAAAGAACCAACTCTTCGTTTCATTGATTCTTTGCATTGTATTTTTATTTATTTGCTTGTTTCCATTTTATTGGCTTCAACCCTGAGGTTG